CAGAATCTGAAGCACGCTCCAGGCTCTGAGCTGTCAGCACAGAGCCCGACGCGGACCTCGAACTCACAAACCTGGAGATTATGACCCAAGCCAAAGTCGGACGCTCCACCGACTGAGCCCCCCGGGCGCTTCAACTGACGTCCAGTTTAAACAATTCTGAGCTTCAAGTTTGTTTCTTATACTATCATTATATATTTTTAAAATCAGCTAAGAAATACTTGTATTACGAGCACTTGCCCCTGAGCGTCTTGGGTGAAAGTCTCTAAAATTCATATAAGGACAGTTTGGTAGGGAAGAGCCTCCCTAGCAAGAACATTTTAATAAATATGACTGCCCATGTTTGAAAAGACACCTACATCACTGTTTTTTATTTTGCCAATTCACAGGAATCTCTGCATCGAGTCTCAAGATCTAGCCTCTCTTCCGACCCTGGTTAGTAGTTTTGTGGTTTTCTCCTGGGATCCTTCAAGGTCAGCTCTCCACGTAGCGTTACGGCGAGGAAGGGACAGCAAGAACGCCTGTGTTCTGCATTCAGCTTCACAAAAGTTAGGAGGTTGTGTTACTTCCCATGGCACACAGGCAGACATCTGAGTTCACTTTTTCCTCAAGTGACTTAGAGGGCACCGTGCTCACTGGAGCATCCAGGTATAAGCCGTCTTGTTAGGTTACCGGTTTAATTGAGTAGATTAACAGCATTCCATGCCTCACATGGGTTATAGGAGGCTGACGTGACCTATTTGTTTGCCTCGTAACACCAGCGTCAGAATACTTCTGTTACACGTTTTGGGCATTAAATAATTTGCAGGCTAAGTGAAAAGCTAGATTAGAAGACAATTTGAAACGCTTTTAAAATTCGAATACTTTAGGTGTTCATCACTGAGGAAAGATTGAACTTTCTGTTTCTTATTTCATAACTCATCGCCCAGACGGGAAGCTTCAAGATTCCGATGTCCGTTCAAGAGCCTCGGAAGACAGTGTTTCAGGAAGGCCTCTGAAGAATGTCCAAGCAGCGGGCATGGTCTCTGGTGGCTGTGAGGACCGGGTTGCAAGCAGAACGCCTAATGTCGTTCGTCCCTCGGAACTTGCTGGAGGTAACTCCAGAAATACCACGGATCCTACAGGCAAGGATTCTAAGGAAGATTTCAGCATAACGTTAGTGAGCTGTAAAGGAGACCTGAAGCCTTTACCCTCTACGCGGGGTCTGGAGAATGGTGCAAACAATGAATCTCCCTTTAAGAAGCTTTACGAGTCAATGAAGGAAGAGCTTGATGTGAAATCAGAAAAAGGAGATGTGCTACAGAGCGGTAAAAAATCAGGAACACGGAGTCATCACCCACCAGAGAAGGAATGTTCTGGTGATTTACAAGGCGGGACACAAGTCCCAGTGTCACTTAAATCCAGACCTAGGTCAGGTCGGGGCACCCAAATGAAGGCAGATCCTGCTTTGGGAGAACAAGGTATTAGCCAGACCGAGGACAGGAGACAAGGTGAGGAGGCTGTGGAGACTCCCAAGGAGACCAGGGGTCCCATCGTCCCTCCTGAGGAGATGACAGAAACCAAGACCCTGGCACAACGTTCCCCGCAGTCCTCGCGGAAACGTCAGCGTGAAGACCTGATGGTCGCCGGCGGAAGTGCGCCTGTGAATTTGGATCAAAAGGAAGGCTTCAGGACAGATAACAAGACGTTTACTCCTAGGAAGTCCTTAGCCAGAAACCAAACACCCGCTAAAGTCGAAAACGCTGATAATTTTGGAGCTACACCAGAAAAGCTCTTTTCCAAAAGGAGGAGGAGTATTCCTACCAGTGTGGACGTTCTTACGCCAGAACCAGAAACTCAGAATCACGCGATTTTAGCTCCGTTGCCCGTTCAAGTTGAAAGGAAGATTCCAAACAGTTCTGTCCACCAGCCTGAGAAAGCGGGCGCCGCCGTGGGGCGCATGCACTCTGGGTTGCCTGGTCGTAGTTCAGTTGATACAAGCAACTCTGGGGACTCCATCAGTAAGTTTACTTAACTGTGCATTTACCGCCCCCCCCCCCCCCCCCCATAGCTCATACCTTGTATCTAGATAGGAACCGATGAGACCTCCCTTCCGTCGGTGGTGATTTCACCGTGGCAGGGAGCCTATGTGCACAAAGCCAGATGCACCGTCTGCTCTCATAGACTCGTCCTGAAGACGCGCACAATTGTAATCCGGGGCTCCGGAGGGAGGGCGGGTTGTCAGGGACGAACACAGCCGGGGACCTACAGGGGTCCAAAAACGTGTTGGATTCTCCCGTTCCACCCACAAGAAGATAGAAAGGAGAATAAGCCTAGTAATAAGCATAATGGCTTTCCAGAAACGTTTGAGTTCCGAACTATAAGCACTCGTATCCTGTGAGTTTGCTCCTGTAAACTAAGTCCAGGGAAGTCCCTTGGGAATGTTTAAATACAGGGAGGGTGTCTCTCAGGTACTTATACTCTGTTTTCCGTGTCTCCTAATAGTAGTTTGTTGTTGTTGTTGTTGTTGTTGTTTGTTGTTGTTGTTGCTGCTGCTGCTGTGTTATAAACCACTGGACTATCCCCACGGGTTTCTGTATCAGGAGCTGTTGTAGGTGTTTTAAAGACATGGGCACTTTTGATCCTCTATGCAGGTAGCAGGTGGGCCCCCGGGACAGGTATCCCTGTTAACTTCCCTTTTGTAAAACGGGAAACTGACGGCCTCCTGTCACCCAGCGAGCGGCAGGGCTGTGACCCCCGAGTGGGCTCAGTAGCTCCTGGGTTTTCTCCCATACTTTTCGGGGGGGGGGGATGGTTCTGTGGGTGTTCTGAAGTAGCAGGCTTACCGTCCGGGCTCTGTTTTGCAGACGGTCCCTCATGCGAGGTGCACCCCTCTCTGCAATTACACCAGCACGCATCCGTCACTGTGTCCCTATGAGTCTCAGAAAGGAGGCATCACTCAGACAAGGGATTCTTGTTGAGTGCCGGTTCATAGGGATGTACGGTGGGGTTGGGACTCGTGAATCGCCTATTCGAATCACCTGGAGAAGTTTTCAAGTTCACGACTTCTCACTAGGTAGGCCTGGGCGAGGTCCGAGTTCATAGGTGTCTTTGGAAAAAGCCCTATCCGGTCACCGCGGAAGCATCCGTGTCTGTCATTCCCCTGCTCCAAAGTGAAAGCCGCCCCATCCACACCAATCCCTTTATCAAGCTCTGTCCACGTGGGCATTTTCAACCTTTCCTAGGAGATCTTTGTACTGTCCGGTTGGGACGTGACGCTTTGTGAGTTTATCCCTGGGTCTTTTCCTGAGCTCCAGCTCCGTGAGCGTTGCAAAAGGATGAGACGCTGTGGTGTTAGTTTTCAAGGGGGCTTTTCCATTGGTTTGTCTTTAACGGCAATTTGAAACATGTCTCAGGTGTCCACACATCGTCCATTCCTTCTCCACGTTTGTATTCGTTATTTCAGATAAGACTGAGGGAACACCCCTGAAAAGAAGGCGGGTCTCCTTCGGTGGTCGTCTGAAGCCGGAGTTATTTGATGAAAACTTACCTCCTAATACACCTCTCAAGAGAGGAGAAACACCCAGAAGGTCACTTGTAAGCCACACTCCACCTGTCCTGAAGAAAATCATCAAGGTAGGGTCAACGGTCAGTATTCTCACTCCCGCCTAGGACACATCCTTTCCAAACGCCCCACGCCAGCACAATGGCAACGGAGACCTTTTTCTTTCTAAAAACGTAGTAAAGACAAAAAATTCTAAAGGATGGCTCACTCACTGAGGGGTGGAAAATGGACCCCTGGGCTTGGAACCCCGATTCTCACGTGGCTGAGCACAGCGGAGGCCTGTGAAGGCCTCTTCGGGCGGAGGCCTCCTGCCAGCCTTGCTTCCAGAAGACCACTCAGGCTGGGGGAGGGGGCGGGTTCGGTAAAAACTACCAATCAGAGGGGCGCCCGGGTGGCTCAGTGGGCTGAGCATCCGACTTCGGCTCAGGTTATGATCTCATGCTTCATGAGTTGGAGCCCCACGTCGGGCTCTGTGCTGACAGCTCAGAGCCTAGAGCCTGCTTCGGATTCTGTGTCTCCCTCTCCCTGTCCCTCCCCTGCTCACGACGTGTCTCTCCCTCAAAAATAAATAGATAACCATTAAAAAACAAACAAACAAACAAACAAACTACCGATTAGAAAGAATCTGGAGACATCATGACACAAACCGTAAGGTGGTTTGTTTGTTTGTTTGTTTTCTTTTAGAATTCTAAGGTGAAAAGGAAACCCTTGAGTGGCAACACGCCCATGATTTCCACCATCAGCTATTTAGAACTTTGTAATCACCTACGCTAGGCTGTGTTGTCCTCCTGAGTTTAGGTCTTTAGAAGGTATGGCCGCCCAGCTCACCCCCCTCAGAGGGCCTGGGCAATCTTTCATTTCTTTTCCTACCAAAAGGAGTATAAGGTATGTGTGGCTCCCTTTCCATTCTCTATTGGCTCCCAGAAATGAGCGGCCCTCCTTCCACGTAGACCAAAGGGGATTAGACGTCCACAGGTGGTGTTTTCTCCAATTCAGATCAGAGCATGCTCACTCCTCACTTAAGACTGGTTTGCTGTCCCCTCCCACCCCCCCTCCTTCCTTTTTCTCTTAAATGAGGGGCACAGACTCCCATCTCTGCCTTCCACTTGACAGCGCTTGAAACGTTTTGGTGCTTCCAGATTGAAACAGCCAAAATTCTTTAACTGGGCAGGGTTTTCACATCCACTACAGAGACTCTGTGTTGGCGGTAAGGTATCTTATGAACATTTAAATCTCGTCAGGACCGTCCTCAACCATCGGGAAAAGAAGATTCTTCCCGACTCCATTTGGAAGTGACCGCACAACCGCAGTTCGCGGGATCTCCAGCTCGTGATCCGACCAGGACTTCTCCAGGTGCCCGTGACCCACGTCGCAGGTCACCCAAGGCGTCCTCGGTCTCCGGTGGCAGCAAATCTCATCACACGGATGTTCCTAAGAGGGGAGGCAGGAAGAGCGGTGGCTTGCTTTCAAAGAGAACCTCCATCGACCGGAGCCAGCATGACATCTTGCAGAGGATTTACTCCAAAAGAAGGAGCGGAGCTTCTGAGGCCAATTTAGTCGGTTAGTGTCGTGTCCGCGGATGTCTTAAGGTCGGTTTTCTCGCTCACGGGGCTTCGGAAACCTTTCAACACGTTTTCCTTGTGACAGTGGCGAAGTCGTGGGCGGACGTAGTGAAACTCGGGGCCAAACAGACCCAGGCCAAAGCGGTCAAACACGGCCCCCAGCGACAGCTGAGCAAAAGGCCAAGAAAAGCGAACACTCCGAAGGTATGAACAGCTCCTTGGCCACGTGCTGTGAGGTAAGGTCGCGTTGGGTGGGGAGGTACGCGCTGACGTTTCCTTCATCTTGTTACATTTTTTTTTTTTTCCAGAAGCCTGTTAGCGGCGTTCACAGTGAGTTTAGTACAGGCCATGCCAACTCTCCTTGTACCATAATAATAGGGAAAGCTCACCTTGAAAAAGTAAATGTGCCTGCCCGGCCCTACAGAATGCTCAACAACTTTGTCATCGACAAGAAGGTGGACTTCAATGAAGATCTGTCAGGTAAAAGCACAACCTCGAGGCTTGGAAACCGTAGCCCTTCGATCCCCCTACATGTGAGAACGTGGACGGATGCCGTAGATGTGTATGGTGGGGAGCAGACGGGAGGATCAACGATCTAGTCAGCTCCTGGGGTTCTGGTGGTTCAAGGAAGAACTTGCTGGGTTGGACGAGAGCCGGACCTCGACCGTATTGGGGGTCACGAGTCCCGCACGAGGCAGGTATGAGTGGTAACTGCACAGCTTTGCCTAGGATGGCAGCATCCGTGTAGAGTACTGGAGTCCGCTTCATGGTGAAGAGAGCAGGCTCGTTTTTATAATCGCCCCTCCCCTGTGTTTATACTGATCGACCGCCCCGAAGTTGAACAATATTTTACTGTTTCAAGAGGTTCCTTCCTTTCCATGACGCTTAACTGTTTCTAGAAATGAAAGCCTGTGAAGAGGCCTTCCCTTAAGCATGAACAGTTGAACCAGTGTTTCCATTCTCAGTAACGGTGGGATGTGACTTCCTTACGGTTGTCCTAGATTAACACCAAGACAGGAACCCAGGGCTGGGATTTCACTCTCCATGGTTTGACCGGTGCTTTCTGCCTTCAACACTTTTGGAGGGAGGGGAGACTTGATTCCACCTCCCATTAGATGGGGTCTTTTTTTTTTTCTTTTCCTGGCGTATTTTTTTAAATGTTTTTGTTTGAATGTTTATTTATTTTTGAGGAGACAGAGACAGAATGCGAGTGGGTTTGGGTAGAGAGAGAGAGGGAGACACAGAATCCAAAGCAGACTCCAGGCTCTGAGCTGTCAGCACAGAGCCCAACGTGGGGCTTGAACTCACGAGCTGCGAGATCATGACCTGAGCTGAAGTGAGATCGGACGCTCAACTGACTGAGCCACCCAGGCACCCCTATTTCCTGGTGTATTTTAAGATGGAATAGTTCTACTCCTCTGTATAACCCAAATAAAGTTCCCTCTGAGTACTGTCACAATAGGATCACTACACATAGTTTTTTGGGGCACCTGGGGGGCTGTCAGTTAAGCGTCTGACTTTGGCTCGGGTCATGATCTCACGGT